TTTTCCCTTTTTCTTTGTTTGAAGTCCTTTGGATTTATAGGATTAAATTACTTTGATGTTTTTGACACTTGAGTCTTCTATTTGCTTGCAGTCTACATATGAGAACTTTAGATATCGATATGATCGGCGGGTCAATCCTTTTGACAAAGGTGTAATCCATAACTTCTTAGAGATATTCTGCACCAGTATTCCTCCTTCCAGGAACAAATTCAGGGAGAGAGTGCAGAGAGAACCTGGGATACCAGCTCGTGAAGTGGCTGGTGGTTTTGTTAGTCCGAACTTGGAGAAAACAATGAGCGACTTAGAAATGGGAAGGAAGCCAGGTTGGCATGAGACTGCAACAGGAACTGATGATTTTGAAGAACAACCTAGAAATGATAATCAGTTAGATAAGGATGAAGAGCTCTTGGCTGCATCCCCAGAGCTAAGCAACACCACCTTGGCTGAAGGGCGTAGTATCCTACATCCTAGGCGCTCTAGTTGGGGAAGAAGAAGTGGAACTTTGAATATACCGCCTGACGTAATTGCCATGGCATCTGAAATTGGAGAGTCTAATCGGACGACTGTCAGTGATAGTGCTTACCGGATTGATAACCACCAATAGTATGTTGTTTAAATTATTGTAGAACAACTGACAAAGTCAAAGGAGATCCTGTCCCGTCCAGGTTATCCTTGAGGAGGTGTGCTGTTGTGTGTATAATTCTATTTTCTTCTACGTTTAGTTTTCTTTTGTTTAAAGCTCTTTGAAATGTGCTTAATCTGCAAAGAGAAAAATTCTTACCAGAAATGGCTTCCAACTGTTATATGTGATATATTGTGAAGATACAAATTCTATTCTACTTCATCACTTCTCTTCTCTTTTTGGGTAATTGCCTCAAGTTATCACATATGGGAATCTATAGCCACTCTTGGTACCCCCCATTTTACTTCAGATGTGCACGCTCCTCGACTTGAAAAGTTTTCTGGAGACGCACAGTTTTTTGCAAAGGTGAAAATGGTTCACAATAACACTGAAAGAGAATCTTCAAGGCAATTTATAAACATGAAGGCAATATTAGGTATCCTTTTACGTCTTTCCGTTAACTTTGAATGCCCTCCATTTGTAACGGTTGTTTGGTCGTTGGATAGCTACGATGTTTTAGATCACATTCAGAGGAATAAAGATCAAAGATAGGTTATTTAAATTTAAATAAAGACGAGTACTTTTGTGACAAAATTTAACTGATTTGCAGGAAAGTTCTATAGAAGTGATTCAATTCTACAAGAGATGTTCCAAATTCAACATTCTCCATTCATGTTTTGGACATTTAATTCCCAAAAAAAATACATAACTAATCAATTTATTGATCTACATTACAAAAATCCCAAATGAGAGATAGCATCCATCTGCGGCAAGTAAATTAACCATCTGCTAAAATCAATCAATGTATTGAGAACAGACCTTTGTGCGAATTGTAATTGCTACCAAGTAATCAACAGTGTACATTTTAGTTTTCATTGGCACAAAGGAATGGGAAGTGTGCCTATTATGCAGCTAATTGTTCTTCACTGCATGCTCTGAAATCGTTTGACAATCATGAGGCTCATTTCCATATAGCGTTGTGCACAGTTAGATAGACAATTAGATTCACTGGAGCTGAACTTGCTTCCAGGTGTGCCAGTGATACATTTATCCCAGCAAGCACTTGTAAGCTTTCCAACCATTTCATTGATCATGGCCCTTTCCTTCTCTTGCTGTAGAAAATCAAGAATTGCGGAGCAAAAATTAGTGAGATGAAGACACTTAACCATATCAGAACCCTAAGAAAAGCAAAACACAACAGTTAACTGGAGAACTTATGTTTTATAAATTGCTCAACACCAGGGGGGGAAACTTAATCAAATCAAGTCAGCACGCAATTCCAAGTCATGTAATATCCATTCTAATACTATAAGGGGGCGTTTGGTAGTGTATTAGCAAAAATAATGCATGCTTTAATTATATGTATTAGTAATCCCTTGTTTGGTGCATTTTTTCATGCTATGTATAACTAATGCTTATTGTGTATTGAGTAGTGTATTACTAATACCATAGATTTCTAGGTATTAGTAATGCAAAGGATTTAATACATGCATTAATATGGTTAAAAACCCAATTACCCCTCAAAAGTACTTTTACATCTTTTCCACCATAATTGTGAAGGATACTTTGGTAAATAAATATTTTATACAATGCATACTATTTTTAATACATCAAACCAAACAATGCATAAGAAATAATATATGCATAACTAATACATGCATTATTAATGTTTGCATTACTAATACATTCTATTGGGTATTATTTTTATACACTCTAGGGATACAAGATTCTGCACTCAAGTAGCTTAACCAAAGCACTCTGAACCTCTTAGCCTAATATTGGAGAAAAAGGAAAAGGCAATGAACAAGATCAGAATGATCCTCACAAATATGTATTTTTGTGAAGAGGCAGGGAATGGTTGACAGATATGTGTGTATTTCATTACATATTTACTGAAGTTATGAGGAAAAAAATGTTAAGAAGTAACTGGAGAAGCTTTGAAATAAACTGTTATTCAGAGAAAAAAAACAAATTCTTGAGGCAATACATGACTAAGATCCTATTTTACTAGTATGTTGTGTCCAATAGGCCTCAAAATATTGCAGCACAAGAATTAACTTCAGCTTATAGATTCTGGTGAAAAGAAAATCAGAGACTACTTCATTAAGCATTTAAAGTAAAATCCAAAAATAATGAGTTAAAGATCAACTTTAACGAATCATGGTTTTTCCAAGATGGTATCCAAGTTTCTTGTAGATGACCTTCACTGAGTGCCTTCCTGGTAGATTGATGGCACAAGACTTGGGACATAATCAGCCATCCCGCAAGCAAAAAGGTAACTGGCAAATACTACACTTTTCATGTAGCTTGAGTAAGATCAAACAGTGATAAAGATAAATGAGCTCAAAAGTTATCTTCTCACTAGTTTAAGAGCTGTAAATTCATTCAAGGAGCTTCATAACATAATTGAACCCAAAAAAAAAAACTTTTTACTAGTTTTATAAGCTGCAAATTTATTCAAACAGCTTCATAGAAACTTTTAAGTGATTCTAGTTTCATTCCTTATAGGAATTTGCAGCATATACTGTTTTTCCAGTCTCCTTAATGCTTTACTCAAAAGCAAAAGTGGCCTCAAAATCACAAACTCAAATTTTGGTTCCCCTTTATTCTATAGTACTACCTCGTGTTGGAGGGTTATTCCAGGTGATTGCCTTATCTTCTCTCACAAAAATTAGACTTTATGAATCTAAGCCAAGGAGAAAAACAATAGGAACCAGTTTCTCAACTAACCAGATCAATAATTACAGAAATTCAAATGAAGCATTATTGAGCACTGTTCCATTTTAAACTATTTGACTAAAGCAGCTCAAGTAATCGTCCAGAACAAAATCGAATGCCGAATGGATTAGTAAAATGTGCTTGCATGAGTGTGTATAAACAGAAAAATACAATCTATCGAATCTGAAAAACTCACATTGAGAAAATGCTGCAATTCTGGTGACTTAAGAGCTGAAGGATCCATGGAAACTTTGACGGAGCAAATCTAGTGACTTTTTCCGATTAGACGGAAGTTTTATCGATTTGAACTTTTTGCAAAAACCCTAAACCGGAAGATGAACTAATATCAAATAGTTAAATAGTTGTATTGGATCGGTCCATAAGTTTAACAAGTTTTAGACTTCTAAGCCCATTAAGCGTCCGTAAGTTGATGGCCCGTCTCGAGTCCAATGTCAAATAAGAAAGAAGTCATTTAAAAAGTATATTTGGACAAAATTGATTTTGGTTGTTACCTATTGTATTGTATTGTATTGTATATTATATTGTTAGTTTGAATATAATATTTATTTTAATTGTTACTTAAATTATATTGTATTGTTTAAATTTATTATTAGGTAACGACGAAAAGACTCATTTTATGTAACGACCGATTTGATGTGATTACGTCGTTACCTTAATATTTTCTTCTTATGTTGTCTTTACTTATTATTTAATAATTCTATTTTATCAATTACCTTACTTTTTCATAATACCTCTACTTTGTATCCTACTTTTCTTGTGAGGGTTTATCATTCAAATTATGAATATGTAACATTATGTAAAGACAGAGAACAATCCAATCTATTCAAACACTATATTCATTAAAACAATATAGGCAGGATATATATTGTTGGCATATAAAAATTAAAATCACATAGCAAAGCAAATAATATACTCCTCTTATCAAGCAAAGAAGGATATATATCTACAATTGAGTCATATTATAAAAAAAATGCATATATATCCTAACATAACTAATTTAACTATATGTATGTAATAAAATTACACATGTTATGAAAATGTTGGTTGGTATATTGAATGGAGAGGGATAATTTAAATTTTACTTTCACCTTTATTAGATTCTTTCTTTTCCCATTCATTTAGGCCTTGCCTTTCAATTCCTTATTTTTGGAAGGAATTGAAATGCCATTTTACAGACTTCTTAGAATGGGTTGTGGCGTTTCCAAGATAGATGCCAATGGCGTCGCCACACCTAATAGATCAATTCTCCCAAATTTCCCTACTAGAAAGAAACAATCAAACAAATGCAATATCCCTCCAAAAACACAACCAATGTTGTTAATGCCTGAAAATGATGATAGACTTACCATTTCTGCTCTAAAATGTGATGTTGATTTGAACTATGTCGCACCCAAGGCATATAAAGATGAAAATGATGAAAAAAGGGTCGCGAAAATAAGGACAATGGTTGAGGAAGCGGAAAAAAATGATGAAAAGGGTAGACTACTACTACATGAAGATGAGGCCGAGGAGGAGGATGATGGTCATGACGATGATGATCAAAGGGCGATTAAAAAGGTTCATGCTGGTGAGGAGGATGGTAATGCTTTCCCTGGTTCACCGAGTTTTAGGGTTTATTTTACCGATAAGGATGTTGAAACAAAAAAGATTAATGACGGTATGTGTATGTATCAATAAAAAAATTGACTAATTTTACTATAGCTCTTGATCGATAACATAATAATTGTGTTATAATGCGTGAAGGTTATAATAAGGTGGGCTTGAAGGACGTTACCCCAGTTGCAACTACCATATCATCAACAAAGGTGTGCATGTGATTTTCACAATTAGTTATGTTCTTTTGCATTGCTTTTTTTTCTTTTAGAGAAAAAGCTAATTAGCCAAAAAATTCATAGCTAAAAAGGGAATGGATATGTATAAATTTTCTTTGTTTTCAATAAGATTTATCAATTATGAATATTCTTTTCCTTCTTTATTTTTTGCCAATTCTTTTTTTCTTCAAAAGGTGTAAAATATTTTTATCTTTCCATCATAACATGGTGTATTGATAAAGATTAAAATGGAGAAGTAATATATATACACACAAATCTATCAATTACCTTGCTCGTTTTGAATACGTTCTTGCCTGCATGCCTTGTTGTTACTAGTATATGTTATGTAGAGACGTTAAAATTGCTAGTAATTAATTAGAAGTGGTAGCAACGTCTATCCATTTATACATCGTTTTTGTTTCATCTATATTGCATCGTTCAATTTTTTTGAGTGAAACTTCTTATAAATTTTGAAATCACGTAAAAAATACTAGAAGTATAATATTGAACAATCCAAAATATTTAAAATGCATATACGGTCAAAGAAAAATTTGAAAATTAGAATAGTGTCACGTACATTTGAACAGAGTATAATATTGAACTTATAAGATTGACAATTTGGTACAGGAATCAGAGTCGGAGTCGGAATCGTCGGTGGGGAAGGAGGAGAAGAAAGAAATACGAAAGAGAAGTACTTTTAGAAAAGTGCTACCAAAGAACTTGTTGAATGTTCGATCATCATCTAACTCTTCAACTCGATCCACTGATCATCATTATCATCATAAAGTAGCTTCTTGAATCTTGATCATATAATATATGGCATGCGAAGGGGAATTATTAAAACACCTCTACACATTGCTTTGTTTTGTTTGTTCTCTTGTGCATTCTATTTCTCTCTTTTGACTCTATATGAAATAATTATAATAGAAGGTTCTTTAAGGCTTCATGTATCGTAAATTTGAGATATATATATAAGTGTAACAACGTTCAATAGAACATATTATTGAATTTATTTGTAAATTAAATGTTCTTCAATACATTTTGTTGATGTATATATATTTCTACTTGTTGTTTAGCTAGAACGTTCGATGTATAATATATATTTACCATTTTGGGGTATTAGTACTATTTTATAGTATGCATAATAATTTTTCATATAATTTATGTACGTAGGGCTATCTAAGCTAAACCAAATATACAAAATTCATATAATGTATATGTATGAATATTTATACTTAAATCGTATAACGCTATAATTTTATTCATGGACGTACCATTGGACTTCTCGGCCACCTATCATATAGTATTATGTAGGACTATATCTAAGCTATTCCAAATATACAAAATTATATTACGTGTATATATATATCACTCAAATATATTGTACTATAATTATTCCACCTATATTTATGTCTTCTTAAGGTTTTTGCAATGATTTGTCATTGCCCATGTTATCACCCAACTTGCAAATATTTCATTAAACCATGATTAATAATCTATATTTTTACTTCACTAAATCACTTAATTATAGTAAAATATATTATTTTAATATAAACATACGATACAAATAAGTGTTTTACCTTAAGATTAGTGGTACAAATAGAAAATGTTTGGATTAATCATTGCCTGCTAGCATCTAGTTGTAGAAATTATGTTCCTTCGTTTTTTCATGAGAGGAAGATAGGGGTATTTGACTATACTAGTAATAGTGTGTTATCTTGGTCACTTACTTTTTAAAAAAAAATGGATTTGAAAATAATGTAATAACATAATAGGAAAAAGAAATTAAATTTATAAGTCAATGCTACATATATACTTGTCCAATGGTAACCCTTCAGAAGTCCCAAGAGCCCTAAAACCAGAAGAAAAAAAAAAGGAATATGAAAAGGGACTTTAATAAGAGGATAATGGTTAAATATTCTTCTTTCTCTTAAAAATAAATAAATAAAATAATTAAACATAAAGAGAGAGGATTATAAGGTGGGGAGTAAAATCTTCGTCAATAAGATGAAAGTGCAATAGCCAATCAATTAAACTATTAATAACTTGATTGAATTGTTGTTACATGCTTTCTCTAGTCCATATTAAGTGGTTCATAGTTCAAAGTTTAAGAAAATTGTTACATATTTTTCCACTAGATTAGAGAGTATTATATTGTTAGTTTATATACAATGTTATTTAAATTTTATTATATTGTATTGTCAAATTCATCAGTTAGATAAAGATGAAACATTTCATTTTATGTAATAATTACGTCAATAACTTTCTCATTTTATCTTTATTTATTTTAATATTTTCATTTTATCTCTTATCCTACATTTTATATTAGTAGCCTACTGACACACTAACTCTTCTTGTAATAATATTCTTCAAATTATTAATAGATGATATTATATAGCAATGAAAAATAATATTTATAAACTAATCTATACAAACGTTACCGTTACAAAATGATAGAATACATTATGAAACAATATTTAACGATGATCCAAAGACCAAACAAAGTGTTAATTGATTAAATATTCATATTCATTGGTAGCAGACATATATATTCCGTGGACAATATTATCGGGCAATTTTGTCCTTCAAAGGGAGAGAGGAGTCGGAGTACAGCCTTTGCTCTCGGGGTCCCATAATCGTCCGCCATTAACAAGGTAAACAGGAAAATCGAACTTTCTCCACTTTTCTCAGAGCCTGCCACCACCAAACACCTAATAACAACTGTAATAATTAGCAGTAATAGTTAATTTCCAGATCGAGTTTTCGTGATCTGTTGAGATTATTGGTATCTACTTCTATTAACTGTAGATGTATTCATTGATCAATGTATGTTGCATCTGCTTTTCCTCAAGCAGATTTGACTTATATATTTTGTGTTTATTATTAGGATTTTGAATTTTAGCTAACAAGGACCAGACATGTCTGGAATTATAGGTCGAACAATGGCCAATAGAAGGATTTCCGATTTGGTGAGAATAAGTTACAGTTTTTTAATATATTTATTTTTGAGGTGGATTTTGTGTATTTAAATGGTGAATTTGGATTTACGATTACAGAACAAGTTCTTGGTGGGAAGTAGAGTATTTGCATCTAGAACTTACTCTTCCGCAGTTAAAGAGGTGATTTTTTTGTTTTTCCTATCTGACTTTGTTGGTCTATATATTTGGTTGATGTTTACTGATGCTGATAGTGGAGTAATTTGATCTCTTTGTAGATGACAGTGCGTGACGCACTAAATTCAGCTTTAGATGAAGAAATGTCTGCGGATCCTAAGGTCTTCGTTATGGGGGAAGAGGTACAATCAAAGTTTTTGTTTAAAATTGTAAAAGTGTAATTTTACCTGTAAAAAAGGCCCAGATAATGATGGAGGGTTCATATAGTCAACCATGATAGTTTGGTTTGAGGCATGGTTGTCCTGTTGTAATGTGTTGTTGCAAATAGTAGCAACCCTAACTAGTTTGGGATTGAGGCATAGTTGTTGTTGCTAAGGTGGCTGTTTTGTTGTTATTGTTGCTGCAGATATCTGTCACTACTAATGTTTTCATTTAATCTTGATCTGTGTTATTTTACATTTGTTATAAAGGAAAAAAATCTTAATCTCTGTTATGTTTGCTCAGGTTGGTGAGTACCAGGGTGCCTATAAGGTTAGAAATGGGTCTATTCACAATTTTTTCAAGTCTTGCATTGTTATTGGCACTCTTTGCAATGAGAATCATTTACTTAAGTGCGTGAGTTTTTTTTTTTTTTTTTCCAGATTACAAAGGGGCTTCTGACAAAATATGGGCCGCAAAGGGTTATCGATACACCAATTACTGAGGTTGCTCCTTGTGCTCCAATCATGAAACTGCTGCGTCTCCTTTCTTTCTTGAACATACATAATAAAACGCTTGAACCATTTTTTGTTCTTTCCTAGGCTGGATTTACTGGAATTGGAGTTGGTGCAGCTTACCATGGTCTAAGGCCCGTAATCGAATTCATGACATTCAACTTTTCCATGCAGGTTGAACTTCTGATAGACTTCTTGTCTAATCTTCTTAATATTTATTGATCTATTTGTTCTTACCTTGAACATAAGTATGTGAATATCATCTGCCAATGTCATTGAACAATTCCCGTATGTATTTTATGTATGAATGAGTTCAGAGTACCCATTAATAAGGTCGTGCTAAGAATGATGACTTAAGCAAAACATGCAAACAATTTTGATCGTGTATGATTGTTTTGGAATCTAGTTAATATTTATAACATGGAGTAACTTGATGTTTTCCTTGTCTTCTGGAAATGAGCTGATTGAATTAAATGCAAACACAATACTAAGAGGTCTCGAAGGAGGGGTGGAGGGTGCAGCTTCTACTTCAGTCACTAGAAATCAAGTAACAAAATGTAGATGAGATCACTTCCATGCTTAAATTTGTGTTATACTCATAGAAATCATGATCTAAAATTAACAACAGCCTGTAGGACAGGTGCTTTGTTTCTGAAGTAGTGTCAACTTCCCCTCTCCTCAATGTAAACTAGGAAATAGATTATAGGTGGGGACTGTAAATGGCTATTGATCAACTATGTAGAGGCCAACTGTGTGCGGAGCTTGTTTCCCCTGCAGATAGAAAAATATATTCCTCCAACCGTTATCTCCCTGACCAACTTCGCATCTGCATCCTATTCTTCCCCCTTCTGCGTACAATGACATCTCCTGTATGCAAATGCGACAAGCACATAGGTGGTGGGTTCTCACTAAGCATGTTTTAGGTAGACCGTGTTATGTTGACAATATTTCTTGAGGCTAAGGCTTTATGCAATTGTAACCGTGTGCACATGCATAATATATTATACCTAACTTTTTGCAGGCAATTGACCATATTATCAATTCTGCTGCAAAGTCAAACTACATGTCTGCTGGTCAGATATCTGTGCCCATTGTTTTCAGGGGTCCTAATGGTGCTGCAGCTGGTGTTGGTGCCCAACACTCTCAGGTATGTTTATGACCTGAAAATGTGGTGTGCTGCGGTTTGCTGGTGTTGGGTTTCCTTCAAGTGTAGTCGAATTAAGCTACACTGTTTATATTATTTAACAGTTCTACATTTGATCTTATGTCTTTCTTTGAGGTTGGTAGTAATGATGTGCTAGCCACACTCACTAATGGAGTTGATTCTTAACTGGAGCCAAATAGCAAAATTACACAGAACTGTTACTCTAGATTTTTTTGATATTCTGCTTTCTGGTTTTGTATGGATTTTTTTTAAGTTGTTGGCTTTAGTTAATAATCTTATATAGATGGAACATGGTATGGGTATATTAGTAGACAGGGAGATGGCTTTTAACTATTACCAAGCTAACTTGGCTAATGGATTGGTGACTGGTGAGGCACTAGATGTGAGTAAGGGTTTTTTGTATTCTGATCAGACCACTTTCCTGCTGCATGCTGAACGTTCTGAATATATCTAGTCATCTACAGATAGTTTGGTACCGTACCCGATGCTGGAAAGGCTAATTTTTAGGGTTGTTATCCATCTAAGTGATTGATATAGCAACATTGCTTGTAAAATTAGTCTTTAAAAAACTTATAAAATAAGTAGAGGTCTGTGAATACCGCCGAGATCTTTTCTGTTTGATGAACTTTGGCTGAATAAATAATTCTAAGAGCCGTGAAGAATAACAAGG